CTCCTCAGCCTGCAGGCCCTGGGAGTCGCAGCTCGGGGAGCTCACCTTGAGGAAGAACTCCGTGCCCTTCTCCATGATCTCCTGGATCTGCAGGAAGCCGGCCGTGTACATGAGCAGGAACTGGTCGCCCACGTTCATGCTGAGCCGGCCGGTGTAGCAGAAGCTCAGGATCTGCTGGAACGACTGCGGCTGCACGGCGGCCGGCAGCTCCACCACGGCGCTGCGGCTGCTGTTGAACAGGTCCCGGAAGTACGAGCTGCTGGCGGCCAGCACGGCGCGGTGGGCCTTGAAGGCGTGGCCCTTGACCACCACAGACACATCACAGTACAGGCCCTGCAGCCGCTGCTCGTTCAGGCATTCCAGGATGCTGTTGCCGAAGTTCGGGATCTCCATCTGCAGGGTCTGCGCCATGGCGGCGGCTGCACGGGGACAGGGAGACACGGGAATGGGGGGATGGGGTCTGGCAGTCAACGCTGGCGCTGGCCCCGGCCCCACAGACTCCTGGGGCAAACCACTCAGGGACACGGACATCCACACCCCCAAATAGGCTGTGGCCCTGCACGTCACCTGAAGTCACCTACTTTTCCCATCCTAGCACGGTTGGTCCTTTCCTTTTTCTAAATAATTGTTTTATTCTAAAGAATAAAACAATTGTATTATTATTTTTTAAGATTGATTTAATTCCATTTGTTATCATTATTTTAAATTTGTCCAGAGAGAGACGGGGAAGAGGGAGAGGGGGAGGGGGAGAAGCAATCCACCAGGTCCGGGATTCGAACCATGGTTGGCCATGTGGGGATCCAGTGCCTTTAAGCACCACACCATCTACTGGCCCCTCAAGTTTATCTTTATAATTATTTTTAAAATGTGACCAGAGAAAGACGGAAAGTGAGAAAGAGCCAGTCGCCCGGGACTCGAACCACAGTTGTCCACGTGGGAGTTGAGCACCTTTAACTACCACGCCCCCTGTCCTTCATTTCTACGATCTCTCTTCCTCCATTTCTCCCTCCTTTCGGGATTTTGGGTATGCATGCACAGGTACTTGATGTTATCTTTCAAGTTACTGGGGCTGGGATGTGAACTGCCATGTGGGATCTGGCTCCCTTAACCACTAGGCCACCAGGCCGTCCGGCCCCATTGTCAAAATGAAAAGAGTGTTAGTTTGTGCCACTGTGACGTGGAAAGTTGCAACTGAGACCATCAGAGGTGTGGGACGGTCTGGATGGCCCACTGAGCTAGGTCAGCCATGGACCCGAATGGTCACAACGTGTCCCTTAAAGAGGGCAGCTAGGATGTGACCAGCTAGGGTGTGAGTGTGAACTGTCACCAGCGCCGCGTCCGTGTGACACCTGTGAAGGGCATGGGCATGGAGGCCCCAGGGTCGTCAGAGTTGACCATCCAAGTGTCCACCCACGACCACTGAGCACCGTTTGTGGACTGACTAAATGAGCACTCAAGACCACCACCAGGGAAATGCACGTGTAAGGTACAAGGTGTCCTCTCATACTCGCTAGGGGAGCTGGATTCACCACTAGCCAACGTGGGCCAGCAGGTGGCATGGGGAAGTAGCTTGGCAGACCCCATATGGCCAGCGCTGCAGTTCAAGTCCCAGACCCGGTGGCTTGAAACCCAACACACTCAATGCGTGTCTGTGTGCCCGAAATCACAAGAGGACGGAGAAGGGGTTCTGGTGGGGCCAATCCCCCCCTGCTAGGATGCTTTCCCACTTTTTACTTTGGGTTTCCAGCAAGTACATATACCACATAGCAAAAAAAAAACAAAAACAAAAACAAAAAAAAAACCTTAAATTTAACTTTATTTATTTTAATTTGACCACAGAGGGACAGATCGAATGAGCAAGTAAGTGAATGAGCGAGAGAAACAGACTGAGAAAGCAAGCTGCCAGATCCAGGACTCGAACCACAATCAAACCACATGGGAGTCCAGCACCCTTAACAGCCATGCTACTTGCTGATCCCAGCCACATAGCAAAATCTACAAAAGAGAAAAAGGGGCCAGGGGCCAGCAGTTGGTGTAGTGGTTATAGGACTGGATTCCCACGTGGCTGACTGTGGTTCGAGTTCCAGACCCAGTGGATTGAAAATCACACCAGGCACACGTGTGTGTGTGTGTGTGTGTGTGTGTGTGTGTGTGTGTGTGTGTGTGTGTGTGTGTGTGTGTGTGTGTGTGTGTGTGTGTGCGCGCGCGCGCCCAAAATCCCAGGAGGAGAAGGGACTACAGCATGGCCATCCTCCCCGGGGAGGTGATTTTTCCCTTTCCCTGTATCTCTGCACTGAGCACACACACCCTTGGCAAAAACCTTCACAAAGTAAGAAAGAGAAAACAGAAATGGGAAACCCCATACACCGCGGGCGGGGCTGCCGGTTCAGAAACGAATCTGGAAGTCCCTCGAATGGCGAAAATATAGAACTTCCGTCTGACCCACTGTTCACTCTCCTGGGAACTGCACCCCAGAGAAAGTTAGAGGGCTGCCCACGTAAAATCTCGTGCACCCGTTCCTGTTCCCAGCAGCGGTATTCCCAACAGCCCCAGGTGGAAATAGCCCCAAAGTCCCCCAACTTGGGAACACAGAAACAATGAGGTCTAGCCCTACAATGGAGGATCATTCAGCCTTAAAAAGGAAGTTCCAAGACAAGCCACGGCACAGATGTCCCTGGAAAACAGCACCCCGAGTGGACACGGCTGGACGGAAAGACACACTGTCCGATTCCATTTAGTAAGACGTCCCCGACAGGACAGGCAAATGCGGAGACAGAAAGCAGATGGTTCGTTACCAGGGGCTGGGGAAGGGGAGATGGGGGGCCGTGCGAACCAAAGGGTGTGGGCTTTCTTCTTAACGTAATGAAAACTTAAAATGGACTGTTCGCGTGGTTGCATAACTCTGTGAGTACCAAGACCACTGAACCAGATAGGTTTCTTTAAAAGAGATTTTTGTTACAGGGCACGAGCCTCGCTAGAGAGACAGAAAGTGAGAAATGACCCCCCAGGGGAGATGGCCACGCCACAATCCCTTCTCCTCCATTCTCCTCTCAGGATTCTGGGCACGCACGCACAGACGCCCGGCAGGACTTTCAGCCACCGTGGATGTGAACCGAAGACAGCCATGTGAAAGTCCAGCACCTTAATCACTATACCACCTGCTAGCTCCTAGACACATGTTTTTTTTTTTTGGGGGGGGCTGTTTGCTATAGGGCGCGTGCGTTCGCCAGAAAGAGACAGAAAGCGAGAAATCACCCCCCAGGGGGGATGGCCACGCTGCAATCCCTTCTCCTCTTGGGATCTTGGGCATGCATGCACACGCGCCTAGTGTGAATTTAAGCCACTGGGTCCAGGACTTGAACCCCGGTCCACTACATGGGAGTCCAGCGACATAGCCATTACGCTAACTGCTGGTACCCCTAGACACATTTTTAATAGGCAGAGGGTGTGTGAGGTCACCGCAGAGCAGGCAGGAGGGAGGAAGCACCCCCTTTGGGATTGGTTAAGCTGCCATCCCTTTTCTCCCATTTCTCAATACCATCTGGGTTTAGGCATGCACATATACATGCCTGGAGTGTTTCAAGCCACCAGGGCTGGGATTTGAACCTTGGCTGACTATGTGGGATCCAGCTCCCTTAACCACTAGACTACCAGGCTGCCCCTGCATTATATACTTTAAAACTTCTTTCTCTCTTCTGTGAACCCCAGAGGGCCCACGTGCCCAGGGCCGAGGCAGTTAAGGACAGAGGCTGACTCCATAGCTCAGAGGGGTGCCCCAGGCCTATTCTGGGGGTGGGGTGGGAGTGGGCCCACTGACAAGACGGGAGTGCAGTGTGGCCACAGTCCCTCATCCGTGTTCATGTATTAAGTGGGCACTTGGGCCCAGCAGGTGGCGGTGTTTAAGGTGCTGGGCTCCCCGGTGTCTGACAGTGGTTCGAGTCCTGGGCTGGAGGTCTGAAAGAAACGTGCAGCACGCATGCCCAAAATCCCAAGAAGAGAATGGGGAAGGGATTGTGGCGTGGCCATTCTCCCTAGGGATTTCTCCCTTTCTCTCTCCCTGGAGAGCGCTTGGAACCTATAGCAAAAACTAAAACAAACAAACAAACAAACAAACCACAAAAAACAACAGTTGGGTGACTGTGTTGCGGTACAGCCAACCAACCTTGGTGGCTGGGGCTCCTACAGTGGGGAGGACAGCAAGGCAAACAGGGATAGAAAGACCCTTCTGAGCTGCTGGGGAGGGTGTGGGACAGGCAGGGTCCTCGCTGGGAAGGGCAGAGGCAGCCAGCACCAATAACAAAGGACTTGTGTGTGTGTGTGTGGGGGGTGGCGTGGTGGTTAAGAGTGCTGAACTCCCACATGGCTGACCACGGTTTGAGTCCTGGACCTGGTGACTTGCTTTCTCACTCGCTCTGGTCACATTTAAATAAAGAAATAAAGTTAAATAAGGGGTGCTTTGACGAGTGCACCTGAGGTTCTGGGGAAGGGGGTCAGGGCACTCCTTGGCCCGGGAACCCTAGCCCCCAGGTAGCTGTGCTCAGGAACCTCCCTCTATGTCAGGAGCCTGCAGATCCGGGAGCTGTGGGACCCGGATGCTGTTCTGTGGACACCCTGGACAGAGTGAGTCTGCAGAGAGCCCCTGTGGACCCACCCAGGCACCCCTTACACGCCAGCCCCACAGTCGGGCTTCCAGAACAAAACCCTCTGCAGCAGCTGGGCCCCTGAGCCACCTGGTGAGTCTGGCCCCACCAAGGGGACCCCCAGTACAGCTCACGGTGCTCCTCCCCTCTCACCCGAGAAAACGCACCCCCCCAGCCTCTGCACACGGGAGTGTCTCCCTCTGTCCCCAAACCCAGCCCTGCTCTAGCCTCCTTTTGCTCACCTCCAAGTCGGCCCAATCCCATCTCACGATAAACTGCCTGAAACCAGATCTGAATCCTCTCTCGAAGCTCAGCACGCCGCTGCCCGCCTCCCCTCCCATGCCCGGAATAGCAGGAGTCCCTGGGACCAGCAGTTAGTGTAATGGCTATGTCTCTGGACTCCCATGTGGTCGACCATGGTTCACGTCCTGGACCCGGTGGCTTAAACTCACGCCGGGCGCATGTGCGTGTGCGCCCAAGATCCAGAGAGGAGAATGGAGAAGGGATTGCTGCCTGCTCCCCACCATGGGGGGGTGATTTTTCGCTTTCTGTCTGTCTAGTGAACACACGTGTCCTATAGCAAAAACCTCTCCAAAAAAATTAATTAATTAAAAAAAAATAAGAGCAGGAGTCCCCAGGAACCCCCAGTCCCACACAAGGCCAAGGGACCCTCCCTGCATCCCCAGCCTTGGCCTCTGCTTCCATGACCCCCCAGTCACTGAACAAATTGCCAGGTCCCATCTAGCCTGGGAGGGAGTGGAGCCCTTCCTCCTCCCGGGCTCGTGGTCCACAGGCAGGGGACGCGGTCACCCACTCGGGCTTGCACAGACCCACGTCACATGCCAGGGCATCCTAACTTGCCCAGAAGAGGGGACAGAAGGGGAAGCTGAGGTCTGAGAGGGGCAGTGGTGGGTAAGGGGTGGGTCTGCACCCAGACTTGGGGTTCTGCCATGGACAGAACTGGGCTCATCCAGGCCAAGGTCGTATGTTGAAGCCTGTGATTGGGGATGAGGTCTGGAGGAGGTGATGAAGTGAGGCCTAGGCCGGTAGGTGGCGTGGTGGCTAAGGTGCTGGACTTCAAAGGTTCGAGTCCTGGCCCAATCCCTGGCAGCTTGCTCTTTCACTTTCCTTCTCTCTGGTCCAATTAAATAATAATTATAAATTGGGGCTGGCAGGCGGCATGCTGTTTAAGCTGCAGGATTCCCACGTGGCTGACCACAGTTTTGAGTCTTACACCTGCTTTCTTGTTCTCCCTCCCCCATCACATTTAAAAAACAAAAGAGGGACCAGCAGTTGGCGTAATGGTTATGTCGCTGGGCTCCCATGTAGTCTACTGCAGTTCGAGTCCTGGACCCAGTGGCTTAAACTCATGCCAGGCGCGTGTGCGTGCGTGCCCAAGATCCCGAGAGGAGAATGGAAAAGGGATTGTGGCGTGGCCATCCCTCCTGGGGGGTGTCATTTCTCGCTTTCTCTCTCTGTCTTTCTGGTGAGCTCAAGTGCCCTATAGCCAAAGCCTCTTAAAAAAAATATATAAATAAAATTAAAGTAGTCCTTTAAAATAAAAAAGTAATAAAGTTAAATAGAATAATTTTTTGGTTGGTTTTCAAAGAATTAATTGTTTTTTTATTAATTTATTCATTCCATCATTTTCATTTGACCAGAGAAAGACAGGCACACAGAGAGAGGGAAAGTGAGAAAGCAAGCCACCAGGTCCGAGACTCGAACCCTAGTCGCCATGTGGTAGTGTCCAGTGCCTTAAACGCCATGCCACCTCTTGACCCTAAATGAATTTTTTTTTTTTTTTTAAAGATTAAGCGAGGCCTTAAGGGTAGAAATAAGGTTAGCTATATACAGTGATTTACGGTGCTGGTGTCCAAAGTGATCAACCACAGTTTGAGTCCCGGACCTGGCGGCTTGCAAATCACCCTAGGTGCGTGCCCAAGATCCCGAGAGGAGAATGGAGGAGAAGGGACTGTGGCGTGGCCATCCCCCCTGGGGGGTGATTTCTCACTGTCTCTCTCTGGTAAGTGCATGCACCCCATGGCTGAGTGCGGGCCAGGAAGAGCTCTCACCAGCGCGTGACCATGCCAGCCCCTTGCCCGATGCCGCACTCCCAGGCTCCAGAACTGTCACCTAGCCTGACATTTTGTTGTGTCAGTCCAACCTCAAGCTGGTAAATGAGATCTTCGAAATGTTTCCAGAAAAACGCACTCTATAAAAAAACTATCCATGGATTTCCTAACTTTTTTTTTGCATCAAAACAAACTCATTCTTTTAATTTTATTATTATTATTATTTTTTTTTGTTTGTAGAAATTTGACCAGAGAGAGAAAGAGAGAGGGAAAGCGAGAAAGTAAGCCGTCAGGTCCAGGACTCAAGCTGCAATTGGCCACGTGGGAATCCAGTGTTTTAACTACCACACCACTCGCTGGCCCCAAACTGGTACTTTTTTTGGGAGGTTTTTGCTATAGGGCATGTGCGCTTGCCAGAAAGACAGAGACAGACAGAAAGCAAGAAATCACCCCCCAGGGGGGATGGCCACACCACAATCACAGCGTTGAGTTTAAGCCACCGGGTCCGGGACTCAAACCACGTTCGACTACATGGGAGTCCAGCGACGTAGCCATTACGCCAACCGCTGGTCCCCTCAAAACTTGTACTTTTAATTCCATTTTTTCTATGACCTTTTAGAAGTCTCCTTATACACTCTGCATATCTCTGATTTGAAAACTAAAACTCCAAAATCCAAGATAGTTGGAGCGCTGACATGATGGCACAAATGGAAAATTCCACACGTGACCTCATGTGAAGGGTCAAAATGCTGCAATATTCTGTAATAAAAAAAAACTGGACAAAATTGTGTTCAGGCTGGGGCCCTGTCCCCAGCATACCTCAGGATGCACATGCAAATACGCCAACTCCCCACCAGTCCAAAATCCAAAACAATTTTTGTTTTTCAGAGAGAGATCTTTGCTATAGGGTGCTTGCACTTGCCAGAGAGATAGAGACAGAGAGACAGAAAGTGAGAAATCACACGCACCCTTCCTGGGGGAGCGAGGCCAGCCATGCCATAATCCTTTCTCCTCCATTCTTCTCTAGGGATTTCGCGCATGCACACACACCAGCCTTGCGAAGCCGCCGAGTCCGGGACTCAAACCGTCATGCACTACATGGGAGTCCAACGGCGAAACCATTAGTTCATCTGCTGGTTCACCCAAATCCAAAACATTTCTGGTCTCAAGCATTTTGGATAAGGGATCCTCAACCTTTACAAGTTTGAAACACTATGTATGTATGTATGGATGGATGGATGGATTTGGAGAGTTTTTTGCTATAGGGTGTGTGCACTTGCCAGAAAGACAGAAAGCAAGAAATCACATCCCCCCCAGGGGGGATGGCCCCCCCGCAATCCCTTCTCCTCCATTCTCCTCTTAGGTTCTTGGGCACGCACACACATGCATGCCCAGCGTTGAGTTTAAGCCACCAGGTCCAGGACTCAAACCGTAGTCAACTACACGGGAGTCCAGCGACATAGCCATTATGCCAACTGCTGGTCCCCCTCCCACCGCCTTTTTTTTTTAAGTATAAGGTATTTTTATTTTAAAAATTTTATTTATTCATTCATTTTAATTTGACCAGAGAGACACACACATACACACACAGACAGACAGAGAGAGAGAGGGAGAAAGTGAGAAAGCAAGCCACGAGGTCCGGGACTCAAACTGTGGTGGGCCATGTGGGAGCCCAGCACCCTTCGCCACCACGCCACCTGCTGGCCCCGCAATGAATGGTATTCTGAGGTGGGGCCTTCTGGAGGTGATTGGTTCATGAAGGCTCCACCCTCACGAGTGAGATCAGGTCTGTACGGAGAGTCCTGGGTTCACATGCTGGAACTTCTGTGAACACACGGACACAAACACGTGCCCATGATCCGGGCTAGCCAAGGACTGATTGCAGTGTGAAGACCCGAGGCGATTGTCTGAATCTCTCATGGGAGAAATAAATGTACCCAAAGAAGGAAGAAGAAAAAAAAAAAGGGGGGGGGCATCAGGTTGCATGGTGGTTAAAGGCACTGGATTCCCCAGTGGCCAACTACGGTTCAAGTCCCAGGCCTGGCAGCTTGCTTTCTCTTTCTCTCTCTCTCTCTGGTCAAATTTTAAAACAACAACAAATGGAATTAAGTGATTTTTTTTTTAAAGGGGGGGGAGGCAGGTGGCAGGCCATGTGGCATGGAAGTTAAGGTGGCTGGAAAATCACACCAGGTGCGTGTCCAAAACCCCAAGAGAATGATAGAAGGGGGTGCGGTGTGGCCACCTCCCATTCTCTGGCGAGCGCATGCACCCTAGAACAAAAACTTTCAAAAAGGCAGGGGGGACTAGCCCTATAGTGCTGCGGTGATAAGGGAAGCCCGATCCTGTGTGGCCAACCAGGGTTCAAGTCCCCGCCCTGGGACTTGCGCCTGGACCCGGGATCCTGCCGGGATGGAGAATAGGAGGAAAGGGTATTGTGGTGTGACCAGGACACTCTGTCTCCTTTAGAACACAAAAAAATAAAAATGGGGGATACGGATTGTCCTTTTTGCCACGTGAAGACAGAAAAGGAGCCACCCTGAGGAACAGGCCCTTGTCAGACATGGAATCTTCTGGGGCCTTCAGCCTGACTTCCCAGCCCATGGAACCAGGAGAAATTTCCGTTGTTTACAGACCCTGGGAAGTCCCACAATCCTTCACTGGGTTTCACAGGCGGCTGCCAGATCCTGGGTGCCCGTCTGACCCAGAGCCGCTTAGACACCCCCCCTGCCCCCCAGAGAGTATGAAGAAGGAGGCGGCCCAGGCACCGTGTTTGGTTAGTCAAAAGCAAAAAATGGTATCTGACTATAAAGATCCCACTGGCATTTTTGAAAGTCTATGTACGTGTAACTCGTGTTCTTTTTTTAAAAAAATCTGTAACCCAAAAAAAAATTTTTTTGGAGAGGTTTTTGCTATAGGGCACGTGCGCTTGCCAGAAAGACAGAGACAGAGAGATAGAGAGATAGAAAGAGAGAAATTACCCCCCCCCCCAGGGGGGATGGCCACTCTGCAATCCCTTCTCCTCCATTCTCCTCTCGGGATCTTGGGCACACACGCACATGCGCCCGGCGTGAGTTTAAGCCACCGGTCAGGGTCTCAAACTATGGTCTACTACATGGGAGTCCAGCGAGGTAGCCACTACACCAACTGCTGGTCCCCTTTAAAAAGTTTTTTTTTTGGCCATCGGGTGCATGCTTGCCCAGCACAGAGGGAAAGTGAGGGGATGGGATGGCCATGCCACAACTTCTCCATTCTCTTGTGATTTCGGGCAGGCACACACATGTGCTGTGCGTGACATTCAAGCCGCTGGTCCAGGATTTTTTCCTAGAGGGTCTATGTGCTTGCCAGGGAGGGAAAGTGAGAAAGTACCCCTGGGGGGGGTAACCAACGCCACCCCTTCTTTCCAGTCCCGTTTCAGGATTTGGGGCACGCATGCACATGTACCTAGTATGTTTCCGAAGCTGGGCCCCGAACTTGAACCTTGCAGCCGGCCATGTGGGGATCCGGCTACCATCACCACCACCCCCACCTGGCTGGCTCTAATGTGTGTTTTTAAAAGGTCTGTTTCTTTTTAGAGAGATTTTTGCTATAGGGTGCATAGCTTGCTGGAGAGACAGAGAAAGAAACCGAGAAATCGCGCCCCTGGGTGGATGGCCATGCAGCAATCCCTTTTCCACCTTCCTCTTGGGATTTAGGGACTCGAACTGCAGTCAACTATGTGGGAATCCAGCAACGCCATCTGCTGGTCCCAAGGTCTATTGAGTTCTTTCTTCCATGAGGGAGAGAGACAGAAAGCAAGAAATCACCCCCCAGGGGATAGCCACACCGCAATCCCTTCTCTTCCATTCTCTCTTGGGATCTTGGGCACACACACCTGGTGTGAGTTTAAGCCACCGGGTCTGAGACTTGAACCGCAGCTGACTGACTACATGGGAGTCCAGTGACACAGCCAATATGCCATCCGCTGGTCCCCCCAATAGGGTCTTGAAACCAGCTAGCCCTGGATCGTGGGTGTGAGCCCCCTTCCTGTTCAGAGGTCTCCAGATGCGAACCTGGAACCCTCCCTGTGAGATCACCTTGTAGAACACCCTGTCACTGCTGCCGCCAATGTCCAGCCCCTAATTCTTTTCCTTTTTCTCTGGGACACTGTCATTAGAGCCCCAGTAGGGTTCACAAGATTACTGACACCATGCCAGCGCCTGCGAGGGCTCAGACTAGACCAGGCTTCCACTGCTTGATACTTTGAAGGAAACAGAGATCCAGGGAGATGCAGGGGGGCCCAGCCAGCAGAACTGCAGGCCTGGTATGCCCCGAGGCCCCTGGCTCCCAAGAATCAAGCGATCGTTTAGAGGCTGCTGATTGGACCCATTTCGCAGATGCAGACAGAGGGCAAACTGAGCCCTGAGCTGGGGCCCTTCATCCTCCCAATGGGGGTGTCCTCTCTAGACATGGGGTTTGCTGCCTGCCTGGGGGCCTTCCCCGCAGGGTCTCAGATGCCCTGAGGAAGGTCCGTGTTCTCCCACAGCCTCCTGTCTCACCCTCCCCTCCATAAGTCTCCAGGAATGAGCAGCCTCCGCCTCCTCCCCCCTGCCTCCTCCCACTGTCCTCCCAGCCCTCAGCAATCTGGCCTCCTTGCCTGCAGCAGCTCCAGCTCCTGGAAAACCAGCTGTCTCCGCCGCCCTGAACAGCTTCGGCTGCACACCCCCTTACCCCCATCAAGTCCCAGTTTTTACCCTAAAGACATGGGCAGGGGCAGCAAAAGGTGGAAGGGAGGTGAAAATCCCAAGGGCTGGCGGGTGACATCGGTGCCAGGGATGCAAAGAAGGGTGGTTCTCCTGGGGATGGGGCTTGTGGAAATGTGAATGTGGATGGGCCAGCAGGTGGCGTGGTGGTTAAGGCGCTGGTCTCCCACATGGCTAACCACGGTTCAAGTCCTGGACCTGGCAGCTTGCTTTCTCACTTTCCCTTTTTCCCTCTCTGGTCAAATTAAAATACATACATAAAGGGACAAGCAGTTACGTAATGTCTATGTCACTGGACTCCCCTGTAGCCGGCCACGGTTCGAGTCTTGGACCGGGTGGCTTAAACTGACGCTGGGCGCATGTGCATGCATGCCCATGCCCCCTGGGGGTGATTTCTCGCTTTATGTCTCTCTCTGTCTTTCTGGTGAGCGCATGCGCCCCAGGGGGGATGGTCATGCCGCAATCCCTTCTCCTCCTCCATTCTCCTCTCGGGATCTTGGGCACGCACGCACACGCGCCTGGCGTGAGTTTTAAGCCACCGGGTCCGGGACGTGAACCGCGGTCGACTACGTGGGAGTCCAGCGACATAGCCATTACGCTAACTGCTGGTTCCCAATAAAATAATTCTTAAAAAATAAAAAAAAGAATTTGAATCTTGGGGCTGACAGGTGGCACAGTGGTTAAGGTGCTGCTGGACTCCCAATGGCTGACTATGGTTCAAGTCCCAGACCTGAGGGCTTGCCTTTTCTCTTTCTGGTCAAATTAAAAATAAATTATAAAATAAAGTTAAATACAATTCTTAAAAAAGAAAGAAAGAAAAAAGAATTTGAATCTTGGGATGAGAAGATGGTGTAATGGTTACACTGCTGGATCCTCACGTGGCTGACTGCAATTCGAGTCCCAGACCTGGCAGCTTAACACACGGGACACGTGTACGTGTGCACCCCAAATCCCGAGGAAAATAGAGAAGTCCCTGTGGTGTGGCCATTCGGCCATCCCCCCGGGGGCGGGGGGCAGGGGGTAATTTCTCACTGTCTCTGTCTCTCCAGCGAGTGCATGCGCCCTATAGCAAAAATCTCTCTCCAAAAAATATTAAAAAAAAAAAGATTGGAGTTCAGTTCCCAGCCAACCTGACACACTGCAGGTGTGCCTGTGACCCCCACCGGCTGGGCAAGGCTGGCGGTATCGATCCTATCAGAGCTTTTCTTCCTCCCGCTGAGAAAGACCACAGTGACATCCACACCTGGCACCTCTCTCTCACCCTCACCACATCCCAGACAGCTCAGGTTCCTGCC